ACCTCTTTTTAGAACTAACTGTACAATATGATACCATTTACAATTATCTATTTTAAATTTTATGAATATGCATGAAATCTCAGTTCTCGGTTGCAGTACTTGGTTTACCTGGCCTCTACTCGGACAATTTAGACCATCTCACTTTCAATTTTGAATAATATTTTGATTAATAATAATATAACAGAAAGTTCAATACGCGAATATTTGTATTTGATATCTCCCATTTAGGTTTATCGTGGTTGTTGTGACATAATCTATTAGATAAGTTATGTAACACGTTTATCTGCCTTTTTATAAACATATTTAAAAAATCTAGCACTAATATTTGTATTAAATCAACTTTGTTGAAAAGATTTTTTTTGACACTCAACTAGATGTTTTTGTGCAATTATCTCTGTTGTTATTATTTAGTTTATAGAATAAATATTAGATTTTTGCTAGCCAGATTCAATAACACGAGACACGTTTGATACGATGGATATTTTTTATTTTTAAATAAATAATAATTGCGCAAAAGCTGCACTACATAATCAACGCTTTAAAAGTAAGAAAGCATGGACCGGTCTTTTACTTTCTATATTTTTGTCCTTATTTATGTTTTAGTTCATTCAAACGTATGCCAAAAGTTCTTATTTTAGCATCATTCTTTTTGTACGATCATCCAATATTTTTTTTCTGTCCGGTTTCCGTTAGTTCTTGTGAAATTTTTCGTCTTCCCCCGTAAACCGACAGTTTCTTAGTCCGACATTTAGGTCATTTTTCCGTCGTTTCAAGTAAACTAACGACCTGCGGTATCGAAATAGTTGAAAAGTGTGGTAATACATTTGATATGTCTGCGTTGGGATTCCTCATCTCCCATAAATTCTGCGGGAAACTCGATTCGGGAGACACAACGAAAGCTGCAACAAAGTGTAACTGCGAGAGTATTACTCAACACTGGGGTATTAATAGTTCGCGGCGAGGTGTATATAATGAAAGATATAATGGTCCGATGTATTTTAAGAGTAACCCAAATATCGTTCTATTTCTATAGTGGGAAAAGTCAGGTTTTCCTGAACATTTCGTGTCGAATATAAAACTTCCAACATAGTCTGAACTACTCATCAAAACAGTACCTATTCAGGAATGTATATTGGCCCTTACAAAAGAAAATGACGGATTTTGTATTAAACTTGTTCTATTGTTTGTATGCATTTTATTGGTGTACTTCTTCGCGTGCCATATCAGAATTATCCGACGTTGGCGATCACCATTGCGAAGGCTTCTCGATCTTCTGCAATATGGAATAATTGTCCTGCATTTGGTATCTGAGTCCATTCACGAATGTTTTTTTAACCAAGAAACTTGTTTTCTTTCTACACCTCTACGGCCCTCTATTTTGCCTTTCAGGATCAGTTGTAATATTTTATATCGACTTCCCCTTACTATATGTCCCAGATAAGACATTTTTAGATGTTTAACAGTCTTTAGCAGTTCTCTATCTTGGTTGACGATCCTTAGTACTTCTTCATTAGTTTTCCTTGCTGTCCAAGGTATCTTCAGCAATTCGTCTATGAACCCACATTTCCAATGCTTCAATTTTGTTCATGATCGATACTTTTAGCGTCCACACTTCTTACTATACAAAAGTACAGACCAAACATAGCACTTAACCATTCTTTGCCTTAGTTCTGAACTGATATGGTTATTGCAAAGAAATGACTTCATTTTTATAAAAGTAGTTTTAGTCATTGCTATTCTACGTTATGTCTGGATCTAGTTGATCCGTTATCACTGTTCCCAAATATGTCACTTTATGCTCATTTCCTCTCCTACCTCGTGAATACTATCAAGCAGAATTTGAAGACCTTCAATATTATCTGATATAATACTGTATCGTCTGCATATCTAATGACATTAAGTATTTCCCCGTTGATTTTTATTCCATATGGTTCTCTCTCAATTGCCTTTCTACATAACTGGTCCGAGTAAACATTGAACAATTTTGGCGACAAATTGCAACCTTGTCTGACTCATCATTGTAAAGAGATTTCATCGGTGTAGTTATTCCAATTTTTACGATAACTGTTTGATTCCAGTACAAATTTTTAATGACACGAATATCCTTGTCATTTATTCCGATATTTTTCAGTATTTGCATTAATTTTACATACTGTAGGTACTTTATCAAATGCCTTTTTGAAATCCACGAAACATGCAAATACATCTTTTCTTTGGTCACGGCATTTTTGTAATAGGGTATTAAGCGCAAAAAGCGCCTCCCTGGTTCCCATAGCATTTCTAAAACCAAATTGGGTATCTTCAAGATCTTCTTTGCGTTTGCGTCTAATTCTGTTGTCAAGTATTCTGAGGAAAATTTTAAGAGTGTAACTCATTGGGCTAACTAATCCATATTCTGAGCATTTTCTCGCATTGTGTAGCCAATCTGCGGGAATCACTCCTGTGTTATATATTGAATTAAAAAGTCTTTCTACTACTTTTATGTTATCATTCTCTGTTAGTTTCAGCAACTCAGTTGATGTATCATCTGGACCACAACCTTGTCTAATTTTAGCATTATTTAAAGCGTGTTCTACCTCACATTTCATAATTTCTGGGCCGTCAGTACAGTTTTGGTAGAATTCGGCAATATTATTCCTGTCATCTTCAAACAACTCTGATATATACAGCTTCCATTTTTTACTTATTTCGTCGTGCTCATTTACAATAAGTTACTTCTATTTACGGTTCACAGTTTGTTATTTTATAGGGGTTTCTTTTTTTGGAAGCATGCTATAATCGGTCGTACTGCAGCCAATTTACGTGGCGGCTTTACGTGCCCTCCGCAAGCCAGCAGTCTCTGAGCTATGGCAACCACTATTTTAGTGAGGTAAATCAGTTCCTTTTGATATCATAAACAATATTATTAAATTGATTAGTTCGTTAACTAAACATCGTTTTTTTACTGCACTAATTTAAAACAAAATGTGTTAATTGCAATTCTATTTTTAAAGTCAATTACCAAGGCAATTATACATTTTTTATCATATTGTTTCTCTACCTTATCATTAATATTTTCTGTATGTAGTTACTGTCATTCGCATAATTAACTGCTAGACTGATGCATTTTCACTTTCGTGTTGGCGACAGAGTAACAAATTTCTTGGAAAAATTTCCGTGTTATTTTTCTCTCGTATAAAAATAGTTTTGAGACTTGCATTTTCGAGAGAAAAACATTTATGTTTTAATATAATAGATTTCTGTGGAAATAGATTTCATTTTGTTTTTAAAACTGTAGGTGTTAAGAATTATTTTATGTAGGTCAAATGTACAGCGATATAGGGTACGAGTTGTTGCTCATAAATAATGTTTTTCCCCGTTTTAAATATAAGTTTAAATACATATAAATATATTTTTGATAAATCGCTCAAGAAATAAAAAACACTCTCTAAATATTCTAAGTTATTATTGCATTTTAAAGAAATTACTAATACACATCCAAGAATGGGAGATAAATATTTATGTTGTGTGAAACGCCTTTATCCTTACCTTAACAAATCTATCCGCTATCTTTATGCAATTTCTAGCACGTGAACAATCGGTGTTGGTTCTACCTGAGCCTGCAATTCTCAGAATTTAGGATCTGAAGGCGGTACTTCCTAAAACTCTAACAATATTGGCATTCTAGGAAGAGATGTCAGAAGAAAAGAACCGCAAAGTGTAAAGAAAGGATAAGAGCTCCACTGGAGTTTTTGTCTGTAAAAATTTTATTATTTCAGGCCAAGATAAGCTCTTGGAGGCCCCGAGGCTTCTTATCTCGTCTACAATGAAGGTAGTACTTTGTAAATAGACCATTGGCGGGTGCTTCCAGGGTCGTTTTTATTTTAACAAAATATATAGTTGACTCGCTTTACTGCAACTTTTAGTGCATTTTGCAAATATTACATATAACTAACGTACTTTAAAAAAGTAAAATATTTTCTCTGGCTTCTATCCATCACTGCTTCTTCTTTAAGAGTCGTCTCCCAATCGGAAGTTGGATATCATCAACACCGTTGCTCTATGTGTTGCATAACTATCTACCGATGGTTTCCTCTTCCTATCTCTTCCTGTATTATCAATGATCCATCACTATTTTGCAATTTACTTAAGGAAAATTAAAGAATATGTATGGAAAATTCAACAAAACACCCAATAAGGTTCTTTGACACCCCTTTGTATAGGTTTATTGTGTATTGAATTAGTAAACCAGCAAAGAAACACAATAAGGTAAAGAATAAAGTACTTAATGCGTGAATTTCGGAGTGTTCTAATATATACCAGAGCATAATCGAGCCTATTGGATCTACGGGAAAGCAATAGATAATTTGGGCACGTATTGAGGAACAATCAATTTCTCACACACTAAGATTAAAAACCACCAGTATGAAAAAATAGATCGAAGATAAGTTACAGGAAATAGCAAAAATGAAAAATAAGAAAGATGGAAATAAGTAACACGAGACAGAAAATGGAGAATACACAAATGCAAGGGTCGGATGAACGAGATACGTTTCTTACCTAAAACTTTCGTAGAATTGTACATGTACAACCACTAAAATTGCCGTTATTTATATTTTCAATATTAATACTTTAAAAAACTTTTTTCAATGAACTTTTTCAATAACCCAATATTTTACCATAAATATTATGTTGCATATAGATTTTCGAACAGTTTTTGTTATCAGAGCATCGTACCCAGCCAGTCTGGCCTTATTACAATAAGTGCATCGAAATACCGCTATATGTACGGTCTGCAGCTTCGTTAATTAACCACTAAACAATGTGTTTAATTGGAGAAACACTATCTCTCAAAAATCTTACATCCGGCAACACGGTCTTCGTCTCGTGAACCGCGCTCATGTCTGGTAGTTTGGGACGATTTTATATTTTCGTTACTTACGTCATTCGGATGCAAATGGGAATTAATTTATCTGCATTATTTCGTTCTTTTTTTATTTCTGCTTCTTGGAATCGCGAATATGAATGAAGTTATCGTGAGAACGCGACAAAACAATCTTTATGCTGAAGCAACAGATAAGTTTTCTGGTAATGGTAAGGTGAAACCCATCTTGTGAGGATTAGTTTAAAAATGAAAGGAAATACTATGTACTACTAATTTTGGTTTTAGTTTCTTACAAAAAAATACGAAACAATGCTTGAAAAAGCAGACGCAGTAAGTATTCTACATAACAAAACACAGTGAAGATACAAACGCTAATTACGGTGAAGTTTCCTGGCAAACGGGCACTGGGTCATGCGTACAAAGGCACATAACCATAAATGACGTGCTGTAAAAAAGATGTGTAGTTTAATCATCAAATTGACAACCACTGTAGAGTGACTTAAGCTTAACTCCAGTCTTTTTTTTTTTCGGAAGGCGTTTGTTAAAACGTGTCGAACTTTGCTTATTGTATATCTTCAATTCTTATCACCTTCTGGCTTAGGTTTTTACTACTTACGTAGTCGGCACCGATGACTTTACGTAGCCTTCTAAAAATGGTAGCAGCTCAGTTAGAAATTGAGAAATTTCTGGCCTGTATCGGGATTGAACCCTGGCCGTCAGGCTTGTTAAGTCAGTACCTAGCCAGATATCTAGTCGCCACTAGTACTAGGCTTAACTGAGTGATGATACCCCTCAAAAAGACTGTACAATTCCTTTCCCTACACCGCTGATTTATTATTTTTTCTACCCACTCACTTATCTCTATGAGAAATTATTTTGTCAATGGTTGTTTGTTTACAGTAATTTTTCAGTTTCCTACAAATCTCGTCTAATCTAAATTGACCTGATGTACACATACATAATGAATCTACTGTCAACAAATAACAAAGATGTCATACAGGAAGATAGTTTTAATAAAACGATATTAGTATTAAGTCCAATTATGAATTTATTAAAAAAAAGATCATATAAAGTTCTTAAACATTAAAAATATAATATAGTAAAAAAATAGGAAAAATAGTTTTTGGCTTTCGGGTTAGTTTTAAACCTAAACAATGATAGTAGAATTAAAACCAAAAAAGAAGAACTATCGTTGACATAAAAACAGTTGATGTAAAAATAAATGTGTAAATAAAAATACGGGGAATTGAGGATCAAAAATGTAATATGGAAAATATGATCATCAGTTCTCCATTTTCGTTTTTAACATTCTCTATGTTTTTGTTTGATGCCGGGTATTACTTGATTGCCTATTCGAGCATTAAAATCACCTCAATATTATCATCTTTTCTCTGACTTGATCTACTACTTGTTGTAATTGGTCGTAAAACACTTCCCTTGTTGTTTGAGGCTTGTTCTTTTCTGGGCGTATACTCCGATGATGTTCAGGTCTTCCTTCTCAATTCTTATCTTTGCTGTTACTATTTACTACTTTGTTACTACACCTTTGGTGTATTAGTAAGGCTACAACTTCTTTGGCCCTATTTTCTTTTGATACTGCACTGTAGATTAGTATGTATTCACCTAATTTTGATTGACCTTTTCCTTTCTTTTTTGTTTCCTGTAGAGCACAAATGTCTATTTCTTTCTCTTTCAGCACTTAGGGTTATTTCTTGGTCCCTTGAATTGAGTGATCTGATATTCCAAGTAGTAATTCTTATCTGGGGGTTTTGGATTTTTTTCGCTTGTCCTTATTTATTGCCGTAGTCGTCTTCATAGTATTAATCCGGTTCCGAGGCTGTACATTGGCTGTAAATTTACTAAGATGTAAATTGGAGCTGGAAGGTCAGATAATAGAGCAAGTGATATAGTTTAAATATCTAGACATTACATTATCTAGCTACGGAAAGCTCAAAACCGAAGTGGAAGATCAAGTGAATAGAGCAAACAGAGCCGCAGGCTGCCTAAATGAAACAATATGGAGAAATAAAAATATCGGGAAAGAAACGAAAGGCAGAATTACAAAACGTCATCAGACCAATAATGACATACGCGGCAGAAACAAGACCTGACACAGAGAGGACAAAAAGGATGTCAGACACAGCGGAGATGAAAACACTTAAAATTAATGGTATGACACTATGGGGCAGATCTAGAAGTACATATATACGACGTAGATGTAAGGTGGAGAACATCAAGAACTGGGTAAGAAATAGAAGAGTATAATAAAAAAATCATATAAGACGTCAAGAGACGGTTCCCAAATAGGAAGACGATCAGTAGAAAGACCACGAAAACGATGGAATGACAACTTACTGGAGGCACATTGAAAAACAGTCATGTAATGAGAAACAGTACGAAAAATAGGAAAAGATTGAAAACATAAGTGTAGTTGAGAAAATAGGTATGGTAAATCCCATCTACGAATGTCTAATGGCTCCTCTACACATGGGCAGACGCGTCCGCGGACGACATCTACGTATGCATATGGAGATGTGTAGATGGGGTAATTTGATCATCTGTTGTGATATATCACGTCCGCAGATGCGTCTGCTAGATATCCGATTGTTGTCGGTTTTTTTTAGCACAGATCAAAGGGTTTCGGTGCGGACGGTACGGTCATTTCTCTATGGTACGGTATCAACATCCATTTTTTTAATGCTCGCGTAGATATTGCGTCTCACGGGAATTAACATAGACTGAACGATTTACAGATGTGTCCAGATGTGTGGTCAGCTTGTGACGATATATCTGCAGATGCGTCCGCAGATGCATCTGCAGATGTGTAATGGAGGCATAAAAAAAGAATACATTCGAAGGAGAAACGTCAAAAAATTGTGTATTGTCGCCGAAATATTCAGTAAATTTTATAAGCTGCTTTTGCAAAATTTCTTTTATATATCAATGTTTAGTCCTATAAAACGTTTTCATTTTCAAGTGCTTAAACACGTGTAGCTAGATAAAAATGTCGAAATATCTACGCTTTATATAAACTCTTTAATCTAAAAACCTTTAAAATTATCGGATGGTGCCACCAAAATCTGACATTTTTATCGTTCTTTCTTATCAAACAAAGTCAATATTGAACAAGAACTCCAAGGAATTCTATTCTATTTACAAATATTACAAAGATAAATATCACTCGGGTCTTTAATGTACACAAACTGTAGAATTACTTAGTTTTATGAATGTGGAGGCCATCTACATAATTGAGAAACAGAATTCATTCACAGGAATAAGTTGTAGAGTCACATAAAGAAATATTCTTGTTTTGTTAACCCGACTGCTCTCTTCATGTTGAAAATGTAAACAATTAGCTCTCGGGGGCATAGAATACACGCGACCAATTTGGCGGGACTTTGTCGTGAATTTTTCTGAGGCGCAATAAGTATACATTGTATTTAGTTTTTATTAAACAACGCTAGGCCATCCCTTTTGCGCTGCAGACAGAAATCGGGAGAAGGAGAGAAGGGAGGCGGCTTGGCGGTTATCCCATCCAAGGTTATTGGGAGTCGCGTCGAATCGTCCGACGGGCGTCTGTCTAGCCGACGCGGTTCATGCGTCCTGAGGGGTTGTTTACCGGGCAGTGGCATGCACCCTTCCAAAATTCTGGAACATCCAAGACGCGACGATTTATTCGTGACATTGACTCGTCAATTAGAAATTTGTTTTTTTAATAAAATACCTGTTCATAAAAGGTACATGATATTATAAGTTACTGACACGAAACATTTAAAACTAAGAAACTCTGTAAGAGTGAATAAAATCACTTTAAGCTGTCACTAAAAAATACATCAATTTATCGTGTAATTACAAAAAATCAGCTACAATCTATGACAATCATCTGCGCAGCGCCACTGAGATTTCTCTCCTCCAATATAGCAATGGAAATTTTCGCCGTGCTACTTCTCCACATTTCTGCTCCCGCGTTCTTGCTCCCTCTCCCCCTTCCACTCCAGACAAATATTTTATCAAATGACGCATATTAGAGGCTCTCTAGAAATTTGTCACTGACCTCGACTTCGTAAATAATAAATAAAAACAAACGGGAGATTTTCCACAAATATTTGTATTTTAAATTTTCTTTCAGGATTTTGCTCTTTATGGTTTTGCTGAATCTTTGCCTTTCAGATGACTAAAAATACTACGCTTTTTCAATATTTTTCTGTTATATTTGTGTCTTTTTCTTTGCTTTTAAATGCTGTTCTTCCCTCTATTCTAAAGTGTGTTTTAAATTCTTGTTCTTTTGTAATGGCACTTCTATTGTGCAAACTTATAAAGCTTCAAAATTCCTCGTGCATATTTTAGTTAAATTTTTTTACATATTTTTTAAAGAAAGGTACAATAAATAAATTCAACAAACGCATTTACTCTAGGAATAGACAATCCTCTTTTTGGCAGTGGAATCATTCCAATTATTTGTCTAGCCAAAAATCGTTTTATTTTCATTTCTAGCAGTTCAACGAACGCCTGAACTGAAATAAAAAATAAAAATAATGTGACTGGTTGTACCGAAATAAGATAAAAAGTTTGCCAGGTAATTAAATTCGAAGTCACTCTAGAAATGTTACTTCCAATATATAATTTTGTTTCTAACGAAAAAAAAAAATTGTAAAAAAGAAATTTACAAAAAAATTTTTTCCGAGGAATGGTTTTGATTTCTCATTATTTTGCAACATTTTAAAATCAGTATGAAGAATATAGAATAATAATAAATATTAAACAAAACTAAGATATCTTGGAATTGGAAACAAACACTATCTGATATATCATTCAAAGGTATTTACGGTATTTGTTGCTGTAACAGAAACGGAGCAAAACAATAGGAGAACGGAGCTCGGACCCACCCCCAAACGCGCAGAAACGTCAGTCGCCGTCATAACTGACCCCGTTCTGTGCACTTGATCGCCTTTCGATAAAGTTTAATTGGTTTTTAAGATAATCAGTCCTCACATGGAGGAATGCCGGTACAGAACTGGAACCGCCAACAACAACTCGCCTTTCACATTCCATCGTGGTAACGGACTTCGTTTTTTCTTCTTCTCTCCTTCTTCCACTGCTTTGTAGACGATCTCGTTGGCAGAAAGTTTCTGTGGATTGTTGTTCGCCGTTCAGGACCGCACTCACTTGCGAAAACCAAAATTATTTTGTATGTACATATAGACAAAGT